ATTAAGACTAACACTAGTGGCAGATTAAGATTTATTGGGACCCTGGGCTCCAGCAGTGTGTGGGGCCCCTTCCCCTCTTGGTGCTGCTGCTGCCAAGAGCAGGGCAGGTCAGGTCTCTGTGCCCTGAGGGTAGGGGAAATGCTGGGGGAGGGATTGGGGGGCTATATCCACCCCAAATTTCACCTTAGCCCCCCCCCCCCCAAAAGCCCCCCCCAAAGCCATCAGCAAAAAAAAAAAAAAAAAAAAAACATTTAAACATAATGAATCCAATTACTGCAAACACAGTTTCTCTGAGTCAGGTTAGGATGTTGCATTTGTAGTGTTTCCATTGTACTTTTCCTTCAGTGAACCAGTGGAGCCTGCTTAAGTAAAATGAGGACTGAGCGCATGCAGGATACATCTTGCCCCGTATGCACGCATCTAGCCCTCTTCCCAGCACTGCCTGGCTGCTCCATGCAGCTGAGCCCACATGTGTGGTGCTTCCGATGGGGGTGGCGCCAGCCTCTTCCTGGTGAGGGAGACTGGGCTTAGAGCAGATGAGAACAGGACAGGCTTAGTTGCATGGGGCAGGCAGGCGGCAGTGCTGGCAGGTATGGCTATGGGGGGCTAAGGCAAATTTTGGAGTTACTATAGCCCCTCCAAGCCCTCCTGCTCAGCCCCCACCACCTGGAAGAGGTTGGCACTGCCCCTGCCCATAGGGGAGGCTCGGTGACCCTGGCCAGGCTGAGGGTGGGGTACAGATGCCCGCCTCTCCTTGCCACCCCTCCCCTCCCTTCAATGGCTAGAGCAGAGCAAGGGCAGATGCAAGCTGCCCACTGCAGGCTCAGGACTCTGCTCTGCTGCCTTTGTCCCAGGGACCCTGTGCCAGCTGCACGTCCCCTGCCTGCCTGGCAGCAGGAGGCACACCTTGCTGCCCCCCAGTGCTGCCAGGCAGTCAGGGTATGTGCGTTCAGTCCAGGGTCCCCAGGGCAAAGGCAGCAGAGTTAAGAGCCCCAAGCCCACGATGGGCAGCCCACATCTACTCCACGTGCAATTCTGGGGGGGGGGGGCATATACCCCCCCACCATGCTTCTCCTTGTGGGTGTGAGTAGTGGCAGGGACCTGCCCCACCCCCCAGCGCCCCCTGGACGAGCCACCCATGGCTCTGTCTCACTCCCAGCCCCAGATCCTACACACTGCCTTGGCTGGGCAGCATTCCCATCCCTTGCCCCACTCCCTCCCTCACTGTGGGGACCTCAATCTGCCCCCCCCATACAATTACCTGCAGGGAGCTGCTTCTCATGCTGCCCAGCTGTTTTCCTGGCCAGGAGCATGCGGGCGGTACCCCCTGCATCCAGCTCCCAGCAGCCCCTCACAGGCTGGAATGCTGCCTGCTTGCAAGGGGAAACCCGCTGTTTCCTGTGGGAACTCAGGGGCCCCTGTGACTAACACTGCTTGTCTAAACATATTTTACTGTTAGTTTGCAATGAACTTTAAAAGCTGGCATAGTATCTGAGAACCTGTCTGTGTTATTAATTTATCATCTCACTACCTCTTTGTAGTAAGGAAATATTATCCTTGTCCCATAAGTATGACTGTGGCATGAAGAGATTGAAACCCTGATTTCATAATAAACTTTGCAGGGGCAGCCCCTCATGAGTCTGCAGAGCTCCATTGACTTCTTTGGAGATTTGCTTCTATGAAGACCTCATCGTAGGATCAGCACTAGAGAGATTGAGCCAGCATCATGCAAAGAATCTGTAGGAGCTGCACACTAATCCCAGTTTCTGTACATTTTGGTCCAGTGCATTAAATACAAAATCATCCTTTCTTATCTGAAGGCTTAAGACAATGTGAGGATAAGCCACAAATAAAAATAAAATGAATAAATAAAATGGGATAAATCTGTATGTGAGGCCTGAGTAAAGGTTTTCAAAAGCATACGTGTGACTTTGGCTACTAACCCCGAAAAGTGTTTTATCTTTAGTCAGTGGGGTCTTAGAAACCTAAATGACTCTATAAATTAACAATGAAAATGGTACAGATATTTAAGGAAAAAATGCAGGGTGTTACTCGTCTCTCTAACATTGTAAAAGTACATTGCGTGACATTGATAAATCATATACAAACATAGTAAGATGTTTGTAATTAGTATGCAGTAGTAGTAGAAACAACATCTTTGAATTTTCAGAGTTTTATTTAGTTAACCACAATGACTCTCAACAAAAGAAAAATACCCAATCCATATCTTATATGTTATACAAAATGGGTAACACATGTATTTTTACACTGCAAACAATCTCAAGATTTAGGAGTGGTAGGTGAAGGAGCTGTGTAAAAAAAAAAAATATATATATATATATATTTTATTTTATTTTATTTTATTTATTTATTTATTTATTTTTTTAAAGCACTGTTACAGTAAAAGCTGTGTTAACCGGCATTTTACTAATTGGAATACTCTATTAACTGGAATTTCCAATATCCCCCAATACAAATCCTCACTTTAGCAACCGGAATCTTTGCCGAGTCTATCCGGCATGTGCATTAAGTAATTCTGTTGTTTACATTAGTTAGTGACGCTGCTGATAGAGGAGCTGCCGGGAGTCTGCGGGGGAAGAGGAAAGGGATCTGCACAGGGAAGGGTGGGCTCCCACTGCGGGCTGGAGCTGGTATAACTCTCAGATAACCAGAATTTTTAGATAACCGGCACCCTGCTTACCCCACTCATGCTGGGTAACAAAGCTTTTACCGTATTAGGCCGATTTGTACTTCAGCTGAAATAGCTCTAGTTTGGGATCTCATATATAGGTCATGATCCTTCCTGTATGGAGTTCAGTGCAGGACTGGGGTTTTATTTGGTATGTACCAGTGCTCAGGAGAGAGTCTTTCCTATATGTACAAGCAGGGTTAATTCGGTAGCATAACGAGCATATGGAATTAGTCATAGGCATGGAGCATTAGGAGTCCTTTTCTTTGTTTTGTTTTTTTTTTTTGAGATGCAAGTTTCAGCTTGAATAAGTCACTTAGGCCCCTGGTAAACATTGTTTATGATGCAGTTTATGTGTTAATTGCACCATATATTACAACATACCAGGCATATGGTGAATTTATGACATGATAAAATGGCAAGCAATCCACAAAGATGTTCCACATTTTATTGTAGAAATTCTAAGCCCCAAGGGGCCATATGCCCTGGGGGTCATACCCATTGAGCCACAGGCCACCAGACCACACAAACACTCCCCACTGTCGCACTACATGCCCAGGCTGACACCCCCACCCCTTCCTGTGCTGTGCAAGCACAGGCCACCCTCCCTGCACAGCCCTGTACTCCCCTTCAGCTCCCCATGCTACTTGTTGCAGTGCTCCACCCCTGGGATGGAGGCAGGAATTAGCAGCTGGAGGAGAGAAAAGGAGCCCAGAGGCTCCCACTGTTGTTGCAGCCAGAGTAATGGGGGAGCAGGAGCCAGGTAGGAGCCTGGGCTGCAACTTAAGTGCCCCCCTTGAAATATGCAGAGACATTTAAAACCATGCTCTGCAGCCTGATGCTGGGTCTGCAGCAAGGGCAGTTAAGCACCTGGGCTATCCAATGTTCAGCTGTGCACACCACAGCACAGAAGTTTTGGGGTAAGCATGCATGTATCAGCATCAGGGAGCTTCTACATCTGTATGCTTCCAATGGGAGCTAGGAACTGGGGCTTTCCCCTGCCCAATCCCAGGGCTACTCCCAGCACATTAAGCACATGAATGCAGCCTGACATTGGAGAATTGGTTGCTTGATGCTAGGCTGCACCACCACTGTTGGTGCATGATTGGAATCTGAGGAATTTTATCTGTTCCCAAAAATTGTGTATCCTGCCATGCACAGGTGGCATGGCAGGAAATATGATGTGATTTTTTTGCAGGGAGAGAATCAAGGATAATTCCTCATTTCCCAATTTCACAATTATTTCAATGTGTGCTGGGACCTTAGTCCTGCTATCCTTCATTGAACTATTCTGAAATGGAACTCCTTGTGCATACCTGCCTTGTTAAAGCATTTTAAGATCTACCAATTAAAAATTGCTAAGTAGTTTTGTTCCCAATTTCCAGATGTGAAAATTGAGCCAAAATGGCACCAAACCAAAGCATTTGCTTTTGGTTCTTTGATCCCTGATTGATTGCTTGTTTTGTCATGTGTAACATGGGGAATTTAATATTGTTTGATGCATCTAAGGTTCAGGAGGTGTCTGTTAAGAGTAATATTTATAGTGTCTGAATAACTGCATTTTGGGGACAATGGTGGCATTTAGAAATTGGGGATGTTGTAGTGGCTAGAGAACACAGTGCCGTTGTAAAAATCTTCATTTCTAGGAGACTAGCTTAACCTGCATGTCCAGAAAGATTAAACACCCTGTGTTGAGGCAAAATCTTCACATAAATACCATATGTAGCTTGCTTTGAATTTTCCCAGTATTGTTTTAAGTGTCCAGAAGCAGGTGCCCAAATTATCTGTAGGGAGCCAAAGCAGGACTTTTAGAAGTTCCCATATTAATTGACACACAGATTACTTACCTGCAAAAGATTTGAAGTACCTTTTACTTTGTACAGCTGTTGTGAGATAGTCAGTCAGCTGTTTTTCTGGGTAAAGTTTATATAATATGTCTATGTGACTTAGGAACCTTACTGGCTTTCATTTGGGTTCAGGCTTTTAAATTACTTTGCTTCTGAAGATCTCATCCAGGACAAGTAAAAGTACTATGGCAGAATTTTAATTGTACCCCATTCTGCATGTGTTACTATGCGGTTTTTTCCAATACTGTCTTTCAAATAATGTAGTGTATTATTGAGCAGTTTTTCACCCTCCCTTAGATTGATATGTATGACCTGATTTCTTAAGGTAGCTTTTTTTTGTTTTTTAATGGGATACTCCGTGTTCCTTGTATCTTGCTAACAGAAACTTTTTTAGGCATGTGTGGGTTTTTTTGTTTGTTGCTAAAAAAAATCTTTTACCACCATTCACATTTTATCCTTCTTAGGCACCTCCCTGGACATATATTGCTTGTGCATGTGGCCTTTTCATTTACCAATCTTTGGATGCTATAGATGGCAAACAAGCAAGAAGAACAAATAGCAGTACTCCTCTGGGAGAGCTTTTTGACCATGGCTGTGATTCACTGTCCACAGGTATTGTCGTTTTTAACTGAAATATAGCGGTAAAACAAATTTTGGGGCTTTCACACTACTGACCTGGAAAACTACACCTTTCCAGAAGGTTTCTGTTGAAGGAATGAACATTTTGGTGCTATTGGTATTTTTCAGAATTGATCTTATTTTGTTTGTAGTTTACTTTTTATAAACAACTAAAATTAACTATTTTGGTGTTACACAGACAATGAGAGAACTTGGGCTGTGATTCAGCCAAGGTACTTAGAGCTTGCGAGTAGTTCTGTATGGACTTCATTGAGTCTGCATGTATGCCTTCTAAAATAAGGCCTTAGTGCTGAAACTTCATCTAAGTTAGAAGTGTACTTTTAAATCTATGTATAAATTATTTTGAATCCATTTAGTTAGAACCATTTAATATCATTTTTTGAGCCTAAGCACTGGAGTCCAGAGTCAGGCCTGGTACTGGTGGGTTAATGCTCTTGAAGTCTGTTGTGCTGAACCAATTTACAACAAGATCCAGTTTAGCCCTGTGATCTTTAATAAATGTTGATTCACTTTGAGGACTTAGGTCTCAGCTAGTTCTTCTAGCATTACATTGTTTACTAAAATGTGCTATTGTGACTGTAGCTTTAAATGTATAGATTGCATAGTTGCCTTTTCTTACACTCACACATACATTTTAATATTTTTTCTAAGTAGAAGATACAGTAAAAGAAAACAGGAAATCTGTTCAGCAAACTTTAGCAGGAAATCATATTAAGGGTCAAAGCAAAAGTTGGTAACAATATCTTATGACAGTCTGAGTGTTCCCTGAACTCCCATAATTCTGCGAGTGCCAAAAACTGTCCATTTTTAACAAGATCAAGCCCTATAACTGCTGAGATGCTTTTAAATACACAGTTTGAATAGGTATTGAAACATATGATAATCTAAAAATACCTCCTCTAAGCATCAGATAAGAGAATTTCATCTCTGTATTGTAGAGGTGTAGAAATAAATTCATCAGCAGTAATGAATTGTACATTTTCATTTCCTGAGCTGTACTTTTATTTAGTATGTGACCTGTCATATTTGCAAAGCATCTTTTTATTAACAGTATAAAATATATTGTAGCAATTTAAAGTATTCAGATTGTGTATCTTTGGTGGATCTTTTGTTAGATTTCTGTCTCCTGTTTGGTTGTGGTAAGGATTTCTATGCACACGCATGTTTATTTTTACTGTGTGATTGATTTTCTTCTACAGTCTTTGTGGTTTTGGGAACTTGTATTGCTGTGCAGCTGGGGACAAACCCTGACTGGATGTTCTTTTGTTGTTTTGCTGGGACATTCATGTTCTATTGTGCACACTGGCAGACATACGTCTCTGGAACATTGCGCTTTGGAATGTAAGTAACAGCTGAAAGTAAAACTGAGTGATCTGATCAGTTTTCTGTCTAATTTATGGGATTTTTTTTTTAAATATAACATTGCTATGGTCCTTTATACAAGCATAGGAGGTTTACTAATCCATGCAGTTACACACATGTTCACACATTTATAACTTGGATTATTCTATGTTGGAGTCACTGAACACAAATTAAATACTGAAATTTTTTGAGCTGCAAGAGAAAAATCTCATTTTTGGTTGACAGTTTCTGATATGATATTTGAATAAATAAAAATAGCATACATGTCTTTCTCTCAAGATCTGAACCCCTTTTTTCAGACATGACAGCCCAATATTGGTTACCATTATCTTGCAAAATCAACTGCTGTGCAAATGCTGTGGCTGATTTTACAAAATGTGTATGTTTGTTTTCTGTGAATTTGATCTTAAATATTGTTTGCTTTACTATTAATAGAATTCAGTGATATTTTTTAAGTGGAACAATAATACAAAATGCCATTTTTTGCCCGCATTCTAAAGCTATGAACCTGAATTAGGATCTCTGAATGCAGACCCCAGTGCTTTTGAGGAGTTTCACTGACTTTGGGGTTGAAATTGTGGTCCCATTGAAGTTGGTGACAAAAGTCTCTGACTTCAGTGGACTCACGATTTCATCATAATAACACTAGGTTAGTGGTTCCTGAGCAAAAGTAACTTCTTAAACCATGTCTCTAAAGTCCTCGAAATGCAGTATTTGTGGAGTCTACACAAGCAGAAAGGGCAATCTGATAAGTGTATCTTAAATGAAGTTAAGATAATAAAATGGAAGTACAGCAGAGAATGTCCTCTCTAGGGAAGAAGAATTATGATTTTTTAATGCATCTAGAAATGTGCAAGTTTGACTCTTGTAATTTTTCCTGTCTTCTGAATTTTACGCTATATACAGTATGCAACAGTATTTATCTAATGGTCTGTCAACACATATCCAGGTGTTGCTAATTCTTTAAAAAAAAAAAAAACTAAGATAAATTTCTGAACCTCTTGGTTGAAATGGCCTGTGGTGGGGAGAATCCTAATATTGTTTGGTCTTGTCTCATGAATCTCATGGGTTAGCTTACTGAGTAGATTTCTGAAGTACCAGATAAAACAGTAACGCAGGAAAACAGCGAATATTCAGTGGTCCATAAAATATCAAGGGTTAGATTCTAATCTTGATTAAAATAAAGTAAATCCAGAGTAACCTCACTCAGGGTTTTTTGTAAATTTATTGTAATTGAGATTAGTTTTCCCCAGTTCCTTGTTATCGCTATTTATGCCCATAACGTCAATCTTTCTTTGATTGAGGTAAAGTCCTCCTTGCAAGAAGTACAAAACACACTCGGCACCCAGTGAAGTTAGTAAGCAAAGAGAACAATCAGCACCCTGCAGGATCACTTTTAAAGAGCTTATTTTATACATATAAGGCTTCAGCAGTAGGCTATTATTACAGATCCAGATGATGATTGCATGTACAGTTAGGGAGCCAATAAGAAACTATCACTTCTTTCCATTGTTAATTCTAAGGTAACAGTGCCATTGACACTGAAAGCTGTCTAAAATTGAATACCGTGCTTCTACAAGAACTTAATTGTTCACTTTTTTCCATTTAAGTATTTTATATATTCATTTATAATGTAAAAATTGATTTACTGTAAGCCATACAACTACATTTGTGCCCAGTATTGGTACATATATCAGATCAGCATTTGCATAACAAACTCATACATTTAACTGATCCCATTGTCACAAGGTTAATAGCCTGCAACAAACTCATTAATTTTACAACAGAAGCCTCAGAGTGAATACTGAGAAAAAGGACAATAAGTAATATTGAATATTTTAGTTTTTCTGCTGCTTTCTTTTCGCCGATCTTAGTATTGCAAGACTTCATCTGCCTACCTCTTTGAGGCCTAAGGGAGTCCAGATATGGATACCTATGAATTCCAGATAGTGGTTGGTAACACTAATTAGCAGTGGCAAGTATGTTGTTTTCATAGATGTTAAATGTTAGGGTTGGAAAGGACCTATTAGATCATTGAGTCTGACCCCCTGCCCTGGGCAGGAATCAGTGCTGGGGTCAGATGACTCCAGCCAGGTGCCTGTCCAGTCTTCTTTTAAACACATCCAAGGAAGGGGACAGCACCACCTCCCTTGGAAGCTTATTCCACATTTTGGCAACCCTCACTAAAGAATTTTTTCCTGATGTCCAATCTCAATTTGCTCTCTTCCAGTTTGTGGCCATTATTTCTAGTTACCCCGACAGGCGCCCTGGTAAACATTGTATCCCTTATTTCTTGCTGCCCCCACCCCCCACAAAATGAGTTTGTAGGTGACCATGAGACCACCTCTCACCCTCTTGCGGAGGCTGAAGAGGTTCAGGTTTCCCAATCGGTCCACATAGGGTTTTTTCTGTAGGCCTTTAACCAGACAAGTGGCCCTCCTCTGAACCCACTCCAGGCCATCCACATCCCTCCCGAAGTGTGGTGCCCAAAACTGGACGCAGTACTCCAGCTGAGGCTTAAGCAAAGCCACATACAGGGGAAGTGTCACCTCCCTAGACCTGTTTTTGATGCACCTACTTATGCAAGAAAGGGTGCAGTTAGCTTTACTTATTACCTTATCACACTGGTGACTCATGTTCATTTTGGAGTCGACTACGACTCCAAGATCCCTTTCCGCAGTTGTGCTACTTAGGGTGGTACCTCCCAGGCTATAGGAGTGTTGATGATTCCACCTCCGCAGGCACAACACATGACACTTACTTGTTAAACTGCATCCTATTCTGTTTGTCCCATTTCCCCAGCCTGTCCAAATCAGCCTGGATTCGCTCCCTGCTGTCTAGTTTGTGTACCTCCCCGCGTAGTTTGGTGTTGTCAGCAAACTTGGACAGGGTGCTTTCTACTCCCTCGTCAAAGTTACTAATGAAGATAATGAATAGTACCCGTCCCAGGACAGAGCCTTGGGGCACACCGCTGCCTACATTTCTCCAGGTAGAAACTGACCCATCTACCACCACTCTCTGGGTGCATCCCATAAGCCAATTTTCTACCCACCCGACTGTGTAATAATCTACATTGCAACTGTTTAGTTTATTTATAAGAATTGGGTGTGACACTG